GAGAGAGAGAGAGAGAGAGAGAGAGAGAGAGACTAAATCCATTCAGTAAATTATGAAAGTAAACATCTCAGTGTCTCTCAAATAACAGAGAGCTGTAGGTCAATATGGAGACTTTCTTTCTCTCTCTGTCTCTCTCTCTCTTTCTCTCTCTTTCTCTCTCTTTCTCTCTCTTTCTCTCTCTCTCTCTCTCTCTTTCTCTCTCTCTCTCTCTCTCTTTCTCTCTCTCTCTCTCTCTCTCAAAACTGAACAACTAAAAACGTGTAAAGAGTGAAAGTGCTTTACTATTTTAAAGCTATAAAAATGTAAAATATATGTAAATATCTCATGATTACTTTTTTGATAAAAAAAAACCAAGTCTTGATTAAGCGCAGTTTGTTTACATCTAAACATATTAACCATAACTATACTGCCTGTGCCACAGGCCGACCCTAGATTTGAAGGTTAGAAGCCACGAATGCAGACTGATACATGGAACTTGAACAAAATAAAGTTTAACTAACAAAAAGTACCAGGAAAAATAAAGTGATGGCACAGGGAAACAGAGGGAACGGATACAGAAAAAAAATGAAACAAAGGATCAAAAAAGAACCGAACAGCACTGATCCTAACAGGAACAGTTATAAGTGAGAGTCTCTTCTTTTTAATTTGTCCATACAGCCGGTCTCTGATCCCCCTGACTTTCAGTGACTTGTGTTTTATTGCATTATAAATCTCATTATGGTGGAGTTCGTTCATTATTCACTGGCTGAGATGATTTGCTATTAAGTGTGCTTTTAATCCACTTCCTGTCACAGGAAACAGGCCAATCGTACACTTAGAGGAAATAAGAATATTTTAAATCTTCCATCTAGATTAGCCTCTTGATTTATTACAACAATGGGACTTTAAGCAGAGTGAAAATAGAAAGTGTACAGATCATGGAAGCAACAGAACATAAACCAGTTTGACAAAAATAAAATGAAATGAGCTAAATTGGTTTCTTCTTTGCAAACCAATAATATACTAATTGCTCAAATTAAAATTTTATCCCTATTTAATTTGAACACAAGGATCATCTTTCAATTATGAACAGTTAAGAATTAGTTCATCCTTGGTGCCATCTAGTGGTGAAGTGGTGGTAGTGTGCAGCACAAGTCATTGTTGATGCATTAACTTCTTTGATTCTGTTTTATTTTTTTTTCTTTTTCACAGAAGGAGGAAATGCCTAACCAAATCTTTAGGTAAGTTTAATTACTGTACTGTTAATTGTGTCTTTCAAAGTCATGCTTTGTTTAGTAAGTCTTAAATTGATGTGATATCTGAAATATTTCTAATTTGTATTACTGGCAAATTTTAGGCCTCAAATTTAGGCCTCAAAAAACACTTGTAATTTCAGAAAAAATCAGCTCAATATCTGCAAAACTATAGGCAAAACATGTTTGTTAGTATCAACTAGCTGTGTCAGCCTGGTTGAGTTATAATTTAAGTTAGTGAGTTGTAAATGAACGTAGAGTTGTTACTTTTTGAGAGATTCATTAAAATCTGTTTAGTGGTTTGAGATATTTTGCTAACAGATAAACAGGTTTTACTCCAGAATCTATTACCAAAGTTTAAAGCAAATATCAAATAGATGACTGCTACCTCACCAAATTTTATTGACTGACTTATAGCTGTTTTTGTGTTTGCTAAATTTGATTAGCCTTAGCAGCCATTTTTAACTGGTTATACTTCAAAAATTAAAGAGGTCATATCACATGAAATCCTTTTTTATTTTTTTATTTTTTTGCTGTTAAATACATTTTTTGTGTACTTGGAGTTACTTGGGTCGTATTTTTCAACCTGTTCAGTTTTCTCTATTTTCTATGATATTTTCTGAACTATTATGTCACAGAATTTGCAACAGAACTAAGGAAATAAGGTCTGTATTTACCAACTAACCAATTTGATCGTCTTCATTCTCCTCTGGCTCTGGGTCAGACTCTGGCTCCAACATGTAAGGTTGGATGAGTCTTCCCTTGATGACATCTTTGAATTAATTTGTAAATAAAAAGTTTCAGTGCTACAATACAGTATAGTTGTATCTCTGCTGTCGAAGTACAATGAAGCACTCTGGAAGCTGGAGGGGTGTGAAGTGCCTTGTTTGGATTTAAAGAGACAGTATCAAAACAAGTTGATCTAAGACACACCTTAGAAAAGGGGTGAAAGATGGGCTTGTGGAGTTACAACAAGGAGGAATTCAGACCAAAGCATTGCAGCTGAATTATTTAAATGTGAAAAAAAAGATTTAAAAGTATGATGCTTACTTTAATCACCAGTGTAGATCCAGTGATTATTTTCTTAAAGTTTCATTTACAATTTTCCACTGGTTTAAAAGAAATTTGTCAAAAAGTAAGACAAACAAACACACACCTTTTACATTTGGTGTTGGGCAATAAACATAAAAAAGGACTTTATGCAAGCAGAAAAACAGAACTCAAATTGAAATACATGACTCTAAAATCTTTAATGGACTTTAAATATTGTAACTTGTCACAAATGTAGATGTTTAAGAATTACAAAAAAATTGAAAACAAAATTATCACAGACAGAACATTTGTCATTTCCACATCTAACACTGAGCAAAATACTGAAATTTGAAAGCTGCAAATGAAATAAAAGTAAATGTCCACATAAAGAAATGAGAGTACAGTGTGTTCATGAACACATTGAGTCATACTGTCCTTGTTCTTTTTGCTTACAGGTTCTTCAGTTTAGAAGTGTCCATCCTCATGAAGCACTGGTCTTTCATCATCGTACAGGAAAAACCCACATCTGTGCAAACGTAGAACTGTCTGGAACCCATTAGCCTGCCTTCAACTCCCTGCTGAAAATAACGTCACCTGCCTTTGAAGCTCATCAAGCCCCACCCGCATCCCTCACATTATATTCCCAGCACTTAGATGGAGCCCAGTGTACCTCTTCCCGAAGGGAACTAACCCCTTGCACCATCGATGCATAGACCATGGCAAGGGCAGAGACTGTTACTTCATTGAAACGAACAGTACATGGAGTACTCCCTACCTGTTCCTGAACAGACAGTGTTAACATTTTGAACTTCAACTGCTCACGCACTGAGACCTGCACACATCATCACACACATACAGCTCATCCAAACAACAACAAACAAAAAAAAAACATAACAGATTATGTAATTATAAATATTAACCTATGTTAACACTTAACTTTGTGTCATTGTCAAAATGAGTTCGTTTTATTTGTGGGAAAAAAACTGCTCTGAGTATTATTGGGTTCATGTAAAACTATAGTGTTTAGGTTTGACAAAAAAAATGTTATTCTCCTGCTTACATGCAATTTTCTCCTTTTGCTGTCATAGAAAACTATTTAAAAGATTTTATAGAAATATACTATACAAAAAAAGACTAACTGAATCACTGTACAGGTAATATTTAAAGTGATTTAGGGATTTGAATGAAACCATTTGACGCCCTGCTAGCTAACTTTGCACAGTGCTTCAGTTTGAGAGGAAAGCTAATATTTTGTAGTTTGTGTATCGACACTGTGATGGTGGCTGTTAGAACTGATTGCTGTGGGGCTCTTAGCTGCTACATGAGTGTGTGTGTTTGTGTGTGTGTGTGTTTCCACGAGTGTGTGCACATATAAGCTTTGAAGTGAGTGTGAGGTGTGTGGTAGCTTGTCGGGCTAGCGGACCAATGTGCCAGTTTGTCCTGTTTTGTGTACTTTTCTCTCTGTTCTTTTATTTATTTATTTATTTATTTGTCTCCAGTTGGGTCTAACTGTTTTTTTTTTTTCTGTGACCTTGCTGTCTTTGTTTCGTTGGGACACACAGGGTAACGCGACGCAGCTGGAGAACTGAACTCGGGATGAAATTGTCAAAAGCCTGTTCCAGCCTCAACCATGCATATGTTCTAGTGTAAATAGAAACCTTGTAGATATTGAT